AAACTATGAAAGAAGCATGCAAATTTTAGAGAATAAGAATTGATAAGATTTCAAGGTGGGGAAGCCTTTTCTGGGCCTTCCATGACAACAGAGGCAGAAACTAAAAAAGAAAGAATCAATAGAATTGATTACCTGAAATTTAAAATACCTAAATGCCCAAAAATTATATTAAATAGAAAATTGAAGAGTTCATAGCCTGAGGGTAAATTGTATAATATGTATAACCAAAAATTAATATCACTTATGTAGGAAAACCATTAAAATCAACAAGAGAAAAGAGATAGTGTACGGGTGAATGTGTTAAAAACCCCTCTATCTAAATGCACCAAAGGAACCTGGGTGGCATGAGCAGTTTGCAATCAATTGGCTGCTAACCTAAAGGTTGGCTGTTCAAACTCACCCAACAACTTCACAGAAGAAAGCCCAGGTGATCTGTTCCCATAAAGACTACAGCCAAGAAAACTCTGTGAAGCAGCTGTACTCTGTAACACATGGGGTCACCCTGAGTTGGGGTTGACTTGATGGGAAAACAACAACAACAACAAAACCAACCAAAATGAACAAGAAGAACTAAAAACAGAAGAAAATTTTATTTGCACTAAAACTATGCAAATGTCTCAACTTTGTAATAAACTTCAAGTAAACACAAGGAATTAAAACACAACTCCACCGCCTAAGATTCTGGTACAATGCAACTTTCCTGAAATTCCTATATTAGAGAGAAAACTGAACATACCATGATGGTTCTTTACCAATCCTCAAGTACCTCCCCAGATATACCCAAATCATGATCAAGTGAAATTGAAAAAAATATTGAAAAAAAAAAAAAAATGGTGGCTGGTGGCATAGTGCCTAAGGCATTTGACTGCTAACCAGAAGGCTGGCGGTTCAAACCCACCAGCCACTCCTCAGAAGGAAGGTTGGGCAATTTACTTCCATAGTGATACCACCTTGGAAACCCAAGGAGGGGACACTGTGAATTGGATCCAACTCCACGGCAGTGGGTAGGTGGTGGGTGGGTATATTATAAATCATCATGGGAAGTCTGGTGGTGTAGTACCTAAAGCATTTGACTGCTAACCAGAAGACTGGTGTTCAAACCCACCAGTGACTCCTCGGAAGAAAGGCTGGGCAATCTACTTCCGTAGCGATACCACCTTGGAAGCCCAAGGAGGGGTCGCTCTGAGTCGAATCGACTCAGTGGCAGTGATTTTGGGTTTTTATTGTAAACCATCAGATGTCACAAAGCTAGATACATCCCCCTTATCAATAGAGGTGTGAGACTGACCATCCAGGCAGAAGAAACAATTTCCTTTCCATCTGTCAATCTCTTCTGCACTTAGCACAGATCTTTGTATATAGCTAATCAATAAATATTTGCTGAACTGGTTAAGTCTCAGTATGCCTCTTCCCACTCCACCACAAACAAAAACCTTGGTTTTTAGGCTTATGATTGAAAGAAAGCTTCCTGTTCACGTTCTGTAAAGGTTGACACTAAGAAAATAACATATCCAGCCCCTTTCCTCTGTGGTATATCATCTTGTCTAATTGAGGCCTGAGCTGGGATTCAGATGCTTTCAGTGAGAGAAGTTGAAACACCCCCCGACACAGATTCAGAAAGGAGATTTCTGAAAGATGAACAGGCAGACCACGCAGCACAAAATGGTTTACGTGCTCCTTCCCGGCCTCACCCAATTTTGTATGCCGCTGGGTTGATTTGACTCCTAGTGACTCCACAGGACAGTAGACTGCCTCGCAGGATTTCCAAGGCCGAAATCCTTATGGAAGCAGATCATTAGGTGTTTTCTCCCACTAGTGGGTTCAAACCACTGAAAGCTTAACCACTGTACCACCAGGGTCTCCAGATAGCAAAGAACTGGTGCCCTCGAAAGCCTTTGAGAAGCTCTGCACAATGAAGAGAACAGTTGGGGAGGGCTGGTCCCTCTCTTGACCTCTAACCCGTGAGCCGGTGCAGCTTCAGTCCCTTGAGGGGCTGGTTGGCATCAGGGATAAGTGTAGTACCCAGAGCCCAGCCAGAAAGGATGGGTGTTCCCACTGTGGACACAGGAGTGCAGTGTCCTCAGATGGCGTGTAGGTAGCCAACCATGGAAGAGAAGCCTAAGGCAGAAGAATCAAGACAATTTGGTCCTTCTTGGTCCTTTCTGAGTACATCACTAGTAAGACAGGAGGTGTCCGAGGCAGGGACTGGGGTCCCTGGTCATGAAGGGGGAATCAGAGTTGTCCAGATTGGATCTCACTGTTAAAATGACAATATGATAACGCTTGGAACATATCTGTGCTTTCCATTTTTCTAATCTGAAAAATTACATTCTTTTTTTTTTATTATTATTATGAATATAGCTGTTGTTGGCTGTTCAGTCAATTCCAACTCACAGTGACCCAGTAGAACTGCCCCATAAGCCTTCCAAGGCTATAATCTTAGAGATGGGAAATTTCCCACAGAAGTTGCCTGTCTTGGTACCAAAGGTTGAAATGGGAAGGAATAGTATCATTTACATCTTTTCTCCCCCCTTTCCTCCTCAAGCATTTGTGGTTCTATAATGAAAGTCCAACCTCAAATGGCAACCATGTTTGGTAGTACTAGTGGCCTGGTTTATCTTGACATTCATGCATGCCCTTGGTTTCCCTTGCTCTCTCGCCCCCTCTCCCCTGTCTGGTGTTTTCCCTCTCCCTATAAGAAGAACATTTTGCCTAGAAGCTTTTAGATTTATGCTAGAAACAGCAGAACCAATCTCTGAAAGCTCTCCTGGCTCTTTGGGGGACTACAGCAAGGATGAAATTGTTTATTCGTCACCCTGTCCTAACGGGGATATGAATGGTGGGATTATTCTGAAGAATTCGGACCAGTGTGTACCCGGGAAGCACGTCAACCATGAGTAAGAAACACCATAACAGGATCTCCAGCTCACCCACTCCTCTTGCCAGCACCCTCTTCCCAGCTTCCATTGAAACACTTGCCTCTGTCTCTCAATGTTCCTTGAACTTTCACCCTCCTCTGAGGTCAGCAATGTATTTAAAGCACTTGTTTTCATCCTGTTCCCATCCGTTAGATTTTAGTTTAACATAAGACCGTCAGAAGAGAAATTCCATTCAGTTTTCTTCTGGGAAATCTGCTACTGGGTTTTCCCCAACCCAAATACTCACTATAACATCTCTGGTAAAATTCAAAATTTCATGATTTTACTGAAATGAAGCCACATCTTAAGCAACCAGGAATACTTCTTCCTAACAACATCTAAAGTTCTCTTTATCCCGTTTATGAAAGGGAAATGTTTTGTTTTTCACTCTTTCATAAGATCTTAAAAACTTATTCACACTTTTTTAAAGTTGTATTTCTTTAAAATAACGTGGAGTTAGATGCCCTGGTGGTGCAGTGGTTAAAAAGCTTGGCTGCTAACCAAAAGGTCATCAGTTCAAATCCATCAGCTGCACCACAGAGGAAAGACTGTGGCAGTCTGCTTTGTAAAGCTTTCAGGCTTGGAAACACTATGAGGCAGTTCTAGTCTGTCCTACAGGGTTTCCAAGAGATAGACTGGGACTCCACAGTGGTGTTTGGTCTTTCTTGGTTGGTTAGAGGTGGGAATATGCAAATGATGGGCTCTATGAACGAATTTAAACAGCTCAACAGTGTCCCCAGGTGGCCATAAGCACAGACACAGGGAGTTTGAAGTACAAGGTCACTACAGCTATATTTAGCTTACTGAACAAGGTTAGTGTCTCACCAAGATGAAAACCCCACCACTGCTACCAAAAAAAAAAAAAAGATGGATATCTCATTTGAATCAGAAATACAAGTCATCCAAACATAGAAAAGACCAAAGAGTAGGAGATTGAATGGCTCTTCATTTTAACAAGTTACAAGCCCAAATTCAACATTACTTTCCCCTCCAACCCAAACCTTAGTGAATTTGTTTTGATCGAAAGTCTTTCTTGACCAGCCATAATCTTAATACCAATATCACTCACTATTTGTGGTGTTCCCCCCTTATTCATTCATTGTAAAAAATTCTTTGTTGTGCTGTCAGTACCATTCTTACATATTGGGGATTCAATGTAGAACAAACAAACAAAAAAAATACATGTCTTTGAGGAGCTCAAATTATAGCGGGGGAGAAATAAAATTAAAAAGTAAACAAAAAATAATACAATTTCAGAAAGCAAGTTCAATGAAGAAGTTCAAGCACAGTAGGTGGACGGAGTGTGATGAGGTGGAGGACAGTGGGGTACTGCTGAAAGGATGGTCAAGGGGAGCCTTCTCAGTTGATGACATTTGAGTACAGACCTGAAGGATTACAAGGAAGCCATGTAGAGAATGTCCCAGGAAGAGTGAACAGTATTTGGAAAGGCCCCAATTCAAATCCAAGTTTAGCAGGAAATCTGGGGGAAGTCCTCATGTGATTGATTACCTCTAATTTCTCAGAAGCAGCAAGAGTGTTAGCTTAGAGCATGTGCGGTGGGGCGGACAGAGAAGTATCACAAATTTGAGGAAAGAGGAGAAAATAAGTACAAATGAGTTTACTAAGGCACTGCACAGGGTCCCCATGAGTCAGAAAAAACTGAAAGGCAATGGGTTTGGTGTGTTGTTGCTTTTTGTTTCTGTAGTGGGACTGCCATTTTCCTCTGAGAGTAACTTACTCTTCATTTGCAAGAGAATGCCAATTAAACATGCTACCGAGAAACAGTACCAGGAAACTTTTTTTTAAAAAATAGGGTATATTTTACATATTTCAAACATCCAGAAGGAATTTAACCAACCCTTCATCAATGCTAACATTTTGCTTCAGAAATCTCTTTAAGAAATAAACCATTACAGTCACAGCTGTGGGCCCCTCAGCACCCCACTCCAATTCCATTTCCTTCCTCTTCTCTCTTAAAGTTCATTATATAAAGACAGAAAGCAATAGTGTTCCTCTTTATCCTGGCCTATCAACAGCTCTGTGGTGATTTCGTTCATCCAAATGCTGTTATTCAAGATTTACCTGTTATCTGGGTTGTCAAGGAGATCACCACAGGAAGTTCAGAAGACAAAGCCAAGAGGGTGACACTGTAGTTGGTACCAGGATGCAAATCCAAGCACACCTCTGGGGCCTGGCTTCTGGTCGTGATATTAAAGACCATTTCCTTGACAAATTCCTTCTGATACCATCTCTGGCCCCAAATGTGGAACTGAAACATAAGAAGGCTGACAGGGTGAATCACTGGCTTTGAAAGGCTCTGAACGCCTCGATACTACCATTCTTGTAAGCGCTATCTCTTCTCTCTCTTGACTCCAAAGTTTCTTCAGAAAGTGAAAAGCAACAGTAGGCAAATATGAGAATTGTAGCAACAGCAATATTATGCACAAAAGGCAGGGGCTCCACTACCAGGATGTTTCTTTCTTTTCCTCACGTGTACAATGCCCACGCCCAAGGAGAAAAATTACTGGCCAAATGGTAGGAGCAAGGCCAAAGAATGTTTCCCTAGAAAGAAAATGAATGATCCAAATGCAGTTTTCTCCAAAGCAGGACTTGAATAAGGATGTAAGGATACTCCTAATTGATCTGGGGCCTAATTGAAAGGAGCTCTGGTAGAGCAATGGTTAAACGCTTTGCTGCTAACCAAAAGATTGGTGGTTCAAACACACCCAGCAGCTCTGCAAGGGAAGGACCTGGTGATCTGCTCCCATGAAGATTACAGCCAATAAAAACCTATGGGGCTAGTCCATCACCTCCGTTGCTATGAGCCAATTGACTTGACAGCACTTGACAACAACAATTGAATGGTAAAACCTGGAAAGCGTTTTTTTCTTCTCTGCCACTCCTTTCCATCCCAAGTCCAGGGTATACTTTCCTGCAACATCCCAGCACCTGGGCCAAGAGATGATCTTTACATTCTACTTCATTTCTTCTAGTAGCAGCTCATCCCACGGTCTTTCTCATTCTTATTCAGAACCACATCTAGCTTCTGAAGACCTCCTTGACTCTGGACAACACATCTAGACCCTGCTCAGAGACAGTGGTGTAGACAGAGACTCACTTGCACAAGCCACAGAATCCCTTCCACAGATACTGCCTGCATACTGAGTCTGTAGCAGGCTATGTGCATACCAAAACTCTCAGGGCTTTTCCATCTCTCCTCACAGTCTCTGTCTTCACATATGCAATACAAGCGGCAGTTTTCTTGTTTCTTATTGCGACTATCATTGTAAATCTTCTTTTGATAATGGCAATTTTATAAGTCGACTTTTAGGTTTGTTGATATATTTTTTAAAACCTCCCATGCAAAACCAACACTTATAAATAAGTGAACTTTCAGAAACTTACTGAATACATCTCTTCTACATCAGCTCTCTTCATACGTCTCCATCTCAAGCAGGTTTCATTAAATATTGAAATGTTAATGATAGTCTGTTTCACTGCAAGGAGGAAAAGAATAGGAGATCAATTTCCACCCCAGGCAAAACACTACCTTTTAATTCAATCAGTTTCCAAGGATATGCATTTGCATGGGTGAGTTCAGCAGAATTTTACTTTAGAAATTAGTGGTAACAGTCTAAGAAACACCACCTGTATATTTAGGGAAACTCAGTACAGATGAAAGATAGATCAAAAGATATCCAATCAGTGGGCCCCTCTTAAAATATATCTACTCACTGCAAACACCCTTGATTCCTAGGCTAAAATTACAACTCAACCATCCTGGGCTTCAGACACTCTCATTGATACAAATAAGTATCCATTTGAAGCTCTGAACTAAAAACATTTCAACAGAGAACTGCTCTTTGAGGAACAGAAAAAGGTTCTCTCAAGCTTTTTATGATGAAAAAAGAAGAGGCTTCCTCTTAGTTTTGGATTCCTCATCCCTTATTATTAAAAAAAGAAGAAGAAAGCATGTGTTTAGTTCCCTAGGTGGTACAGACGGTCTGCATTGGGCTGGTAACCCAGACGTTGCTGGTTCAAACCTACACAGCAGTACTGTAAAAGACCCAGCCCTAGTGGTCAGTCCGATGCGACTCCACAAAAGATAGTTCAGATCTGGTGCCATTTAATGTGGGAGGCAGCCCACCCCAATGTGTCTTGAAATAAAGATTACTTATTTAAAATTCTTATATCAGAGATTATTTCTTTCAATAATGACCTGTCACTAAAACAAATAATATAGCAGACTTGTCAAGAAATTCCCGAGTAACACTGTGATGATTAATGAGTAATACAGACAACTTCCAAAGCACCTGAAAAAAAGAAAGTATCATGACTTTATTATATAACCCCGTGGGCTGACAGGTTCCTGTAGGAAGCAAAGGTATGAAGCTAAGCTGGTCAACGGGACCCCTCTATGGATTGGGCAACTCTGCACAGAGAAAACCTGTCCCACAGGTTGCAAGCTACACTCGCAATGTTGCAAGACAGAGCAGGTGAAGTGTAGACGGTGCAGGATCACACAGCCCCACTACTAGGTGGAGAAGATAGTTTTAGAGCTTAGTAGTTGCAGCCTAAGCAATCTCATGTCTATGAAACCCCCAAAAACGAATAACTCCAATACCATCTAAACAGTTCCAAAGCATACAGAAAGGCGAAAAGATTCCAAACTCATCCAACATGACTGGGTAATTCACAATTCTCAAACTGTACAAGGATGGCACAACAAATCACTAAGCACACCATGTCAATTATGCTTACTTATATAAATACAAACATTCTAAATATTAGGAAACAGGAGTCAAAAATACATTAAAATATCATTGCAAGGAAAGGGAACTCCAAAACACTTAATTGTGCTCACAAGGAACCTGTAAGCACCTTGAAGTAGTCATTCAAACAGAGCAAGGGGATATTGCATGGTATAAAATCAGAAGAGATGTGTGTCTGGGCTGTATACTCTCACTATACTTATTCAATCTGTATGCTGAGTGAATAATCCAAGAAACTGGACTATATGAGGAAGAACGCAGCTTCAGGATTGGAGGAAGACTCATTAACAACCTACGATACGCAGATGACACAACCTTGTTTGCTGGAAGCAAAGAAGACTCGAAGCACTTTTTGATGAAGATCAAAGACTATGGTTTTCACTATGGATTACACCTCAACGTAAAGAAAACAAAAATTCTCACAACTGGACCAATGACCCCAGTAGCAGAGTGTGTGACCTGCCTCACCCACACTTTCTGACCCGTTCTGTCTTGCAACATTGGATGTGTAGCGTGGGACCTGTGGAACAGATTTTCTCTGTGCCGACAAACAGAGAAAAAACAGAAGGTGTCAAACATTTCATTTTACTTGGATCCACAATCAACACCCACAGAAGCAGCAGTCAAGACATCAGATGATGTATTACAGTGGGCAAATCTTCTGCAAACATCTTCTTTAAAATGTTAAAAAGCAAAGATGTCACTTTTTGAGGACTGTAATTGAGAATCCAGAAATAAGCCCATACATCTGTGGTCAACTGATTTTGATAAGGGTGCTAAGCCCATGTGATGGAGAAAAAAAGGATCTCTTCAATAAATGGTACTGGAAAAACTGGATTTCCACATGCAGAAAAATCAAAGCGGGTTCATGCTTTACACCACACACAAACACAAATTCAAAACGAATTAAGGACTTAAAGGTGCACATTAAAACTGTAAAATTCTTAAATGAGCAAGTAGGGGCAACGCTGTTGGCCTACTTTCAACAATGGGTTACTAATATAATAACAAAAGCACAAACAGCAAAAGACAAAATAAATAAACTGGGCAATCTACTTCCGTAGAGATACTGCCTCGTAAACCCAAGGAGGAGAACTGAAGACTTGATGGCAGTGGGTTTGGTTTCTTTTGGTATGTAAAAAGACAAGTACACACAAATGCATAGAGACCAAAGTTTATGAGTGGTTACCAGGGGTGGGAGGGAGGGAGAAAGGGGGGGGGGAATGGTGATGGCAAGATCACAGAAAGGGCAGGGGTGCAAAGCCAATTATTATCATTGCTGTCAAGTTGTACACCTGTAAAAAGTTGAATTGGCAAAAGTTGTGTGATAGATATATTTATAACAATGACCAAAAAAAAAAAAAGAGTAGCTGTTGGGGCTACTTATGTACAGCCAAAAACCTCATGGGATTTGATTCCTTGGTTTGGAGGTTTGTGATCATGGTTTCATGGGACATCCCAGTTAATTGGCCTAATACCATGTTTACTACATCTGTTCTACCTCCTAGTTGATTGCATAGTGCCTTGGGTCTTAAAAGCTTGCAAGTAGCCATTGAAGGCACAATATTTGGTGTCTATTCTCCTGGAATGACAGGGGAAGAGGAGAATCACGAATATAAGGAGGATACGGAATTTGTGGTTAATTGCCTCCATGAACAATTGCCTTCTTTGCCATCAGGCCAGAAGAACTAGATGGTGCCCAGCTACCATTACTGAACATTTTGATCAAAGATTCCATAGAAGAATCCTGATCAAAATGGGAAAACTGCAGAATAGAATTTCCTATTCTCATAGACCCTAGACTTTCTGGAGCCCTGAAGAGTAGACAAACCCCTGAAACTATTGTTCTGAAATAATCTTTAAACATCAAACCAAAAATATCCCCTGAAGGTGGGAGGGGAGGAGAGGAAACACTGCAATAATAATAATAACAATAAACATATATATCCCCTGAAGTCATATTAAAAGCAAACAATAACTTAACGAAACTAGTGAAATAAGGTCTGCCTTGAGCATTGCGCTCTTTTATGGGATCAAACTAACAACAGCGACTCAAAAGATTAGATAGGAACCTTAGGGGGCAGTGAGTTTACGTTAATGAGGGAGGAACTTAATGGTAAGACAATGAAGTAATTTCTAGTAAGTTAAGAACAATATAAGGATGTATGATCTCATAGTTATTATCTAGCATTAGTCCAGAGCTTCTAGATAATGCAAAAAAAAAAAAAAAAAGGCAAGAGAAAATAAGCTACAAATATCAGGAAGAAAGGGAGCACATGATTTAACTGCCAGTAAATCAGAGAGATTCAACTGAAAAAGAAGAAATTGTTTAAAAACAACAGGAAAGCAAATAAAAATAGTAGGAGTTTGGTAAAGTGTACACAAATAACAACATAACCAAAGAACAACACAAAAAACATGGTTTTCTATGTATCTGCAAGAACAAGTGCAAAGGCTATATAATGGTGCCCTAAAGATGTCCATCTCCGAATCCCCAAAACCTGTGAACATGCTACTTTACATTAATTTCTGCTTTCATTTCATTACATAATCCTTGTGCTTTATAGAGGGGTTGCATTATACCTTCATTGTGAATTGTGGCTTGTAGTGTTAAAAGTAGCCTCCTTTGCCACATGTAATGCTTTTTTTTTTTTTTAACTTGAGCTCCATTTTCATTTTTTTCCATGTCACTTCTCTCCCAATTTTTAGTTGCATTATTTCTACTTTATCAGAACATGACAAGGACCTTCTTTCAGAACCAAAAGAGAAAGCCTTTTCCTGGAGCTGACACCCTGAATTCAGATCATAGATGACATGATCCCATACGTAGAAAATCCCAGAGATTCCACAAGAAATTTACTGGAACTAATAGAAGAGGTTGGCAAAGTTGTAGGGTACAAGTTCAACATAAATCAGTAGGATTTCTCTACATTAACAAGGAGAACTCTGAAAAGGAAATCAAGGAAACAATACCATTTACAATAACGGCAAAAGGATAAAATACCTAGGAATAAATCTAACCAGGGAGGTAAAAAGACTTATACAAAGAAAACTACAATGCATGACCTCAAGAAACCAGAAGAGACCTACATAAATGAAAAACATACCATGCTCATGGATTAGAAGACTTAACATTGTAAAAATGTAGTACTACCC